TTTGTGGAATGTAAAGCTGATAATCTGCTCTGTAAACTTTCACTAAATCCACAATAAAAACCTTAAAAAAAAAAAAAAAAAAGTACCCTGGATTTCCAGAAGAAGAAACATCTCTGTATTGGAAGAAAATAAGTCAGAATGCTCCTTAAAAGCTAGTTTGGCAAGACTTTGTCTCTCTTACTTGGGACATATTCTCAGAAGGATCAGTCACTGGAAAAGTACATCATGCTGGGTAAAGTGAAGGGCCAGAAAAAACAAGGAAGAGCCCCAGTGAAATGGACTGACCCAGTGGCAGAGCAATGGGCTTAACTGAAATAATGATTGTGAGGATGGCACAGATCCACACAGTGTGTCTTTCCGTTGTGCATAGGTCACTATGATTTGGAACTGACTTCACAGCACCCAACAGCAACAATTTGCACTTCAGTATACAATTCCCAGTACTTACAAGATGTCTTCACGTAGGTATTTACTACCACTTCAAGCTTAATTTTTCAATTGCCAACACTTCATAAAATTTAAATTCACCAATTCTTCCTCCAGATTTCTTTCTCAGTATTTTCTGTTTCCATTGACTATAATTATATAAGATCCCTAGTAATATAGTGTTTATGTGTGGGACTGCTAACCACAAAGTCAGCAGTTTGAATCTACCAGCTGCTCCACCTGAACTAGACGAGGTTTCCTGCTCATGTAAAGATTTACCACCTTGGAAACCATATACAGGGTCACTGTGAGTCAGAACCAACTCAGCAGCACTACACCACTTCTGTCACCATCATTCTTTTATTTTTCCTTCCTACAAAAATAGTCCTCATCATGGATTCCTTCCTATTCATAATAAAACATATTGAAATTATATCAAAGCCTTCTCTTTTCTTTCTCATGATCTTCTGTAATTGCCCTTCCTAACATTAACAGGCAATTTTGCTAGTTACTCCACACATCTTTTTTCTTTTTCACTGGGTACATGGTTGCCTCCAGCTGCAACTCAGTACAGTTATGTGACACAGGCTGTGAAGTGTGCACATTTTGCCTAGCTTAAATGATGCTTACACTTGCCTAAGCTTACCTTACTTTTTTTTCCTACTCATCCTGGTGTGGTGATGGAGGATATGCACTGGACTGTTAACCACAAGGTTGGCAGTTCAAACCTACCAGCCATTCCTCAGAAATCCTCAGCAGAATCAGAACCAAATCCACAGCACTTAACAACAACATCAACAACGTTGACTATAAAGGAGTCCTGGTGTGGCACTGTAGGATAATCAGTGGACTGTTACCTTCAAGGTTGTTGATTCAAAGCCACCAGCTGCACCTCAGAAACCCTTTGCAGGGTCCTATGAGTCAGAACTGACTGGACGGCATATTACAACTACTATTGACTATAAGTTGTCAAGGACTTCATTCTTCTTTGATCAACCATCAACACTCATGGAAGCAGCAGTCAGTAAATCAAACAACATATTGCATTAGGCAAATCTGCTGCACAAGACATTTTTAAATTGTTGAAGAGCAAAGATGTCAGCTTAAAAACTAAGGTGTGTCTGACCCAAGCCATGGTATTTTCAATAACCTCATGCATGGGAAAGCTGGACAGTGAATAAGGAAGACCAATGAAGAATTGATGCTTTTGAGTTATAGTGTTAGAGGAGATTATTGAAAGTGCCATGGGCTGTCAAAAGAACCAACAGATATATGTTGGCAGAAGTGCAGCCAGAGTGCTACTTGGAGGCCAGGATGGCCAAATTTTGTCTCTCGTACTTTGGACATATTGTCAGGAGGGACAAGGCCCTGGAGAAAGATATCATGTTTGGTAGGGTGGAGGGCCAGAGAAAAAGAGGAAGACCCCCAGCAAGATGGATTGGTAAAATGGCAGCATCAGTAGGCTCAAGCGTGGCAATGATAGTGAGGTTGGCCCAGGATCGGGAAGTGTTTCATTCTGCTGTGCATAAGGTCGCTATGAGTCAGTACCGACTCTGGCACTTAACAACAACAACAGCATTGACTATAAATGATGATACCTCAAGCAAACTTGGGAGCCACATATTTAACAGGCTGACTCTGACCCACTACTCCAAATTCCTGAGGTGACTTTCTAAAAGAGACACCACCTAACCACCTAGGATATCAGTGAATTTCTATATTTGGGTCTTTTGATAAAGCATCTCGGCCTTGACCTAAATAGCTTGTTACTTATTTCCAAGATGCATTCATTCAAACCAGAGATGATGCAGAAATTTCTCCTCTATCATTCACAATTCCCTGTCCTTTCCTAGAAAAATACAGTCCTTTGCACCAAGGTGGAGAGGATCACAGATTTCCTGAATGCTTCAATGGTTAGAAATGAATCCAAAATAATAGACCTACATCCGCTTGGAGGAAAACAAATGAAAATCAGGCAATGCATCTGAAAGTCCCATTAAAACAGGCCAAACAGTGGACGCATCCATCATTGGAACTTGTTGTTGTTGTCAGATGCCATCGAGTCGGAACTGACTCATAGCGACCCCATGCACAGCAGAACGAAACAATGTCCGATCCTGGGCCAACCTCACTACCACTGCCACACTTGGTGCCATCAATGATGCCACCTGGCTGATCCATCTCGTTGGGGGTCTTCCTCTTTGTCTCTGACCCCCCATCTTACCCAGCATGACATCCTTCTCTAGGGACTGTTCCCTCCGGACAATATGTCCAAAGTATGAGAGATGAAGCTTAGCCATCCTGGCCTCCAAGGAGCACTCTGGTTGCACTTCTTCCAAAACAGATCTATTGGTTCTTTTGACAGTTCATGGCACTTAGGGGAAATGAAATAGGAAAAACTAAATGAAAGCTTGTTGTTATTGTTAAGTGTCATCAAGTCGGTTCTGACTAATAGCAACCCTGTATAGGGTTTCCAAGGAATGTCTAATGGGGTTTGAACTGCCAACCTTGCATTTCAATCTGACCTTGCAGTCCAGTGCTTTATCATACAGTGACACACCAGGAATAAAAAGGAGAGCAAATAAGAAAAAGCCAGAGAGGCTCCTTACGCAGGGAAGAAGAACCTGAAGAGTTCTTAGAAACTATGTGGCCTTAGCTCAAAGAAGGGAGGAAAGAGTCAAACCTAGTCTTCTCTTGTTTCTCCAGAATTATCCAACTCATTTTTAGTTTCCTTCTAATTCAGGACACATTACTCCGGATTCATTTTACTGTATTTCCTTCCATCCTGTCAATTATGTACTGCATACATTAAATATAAAACTACTTTTTCAAACATGATGCTGTTGTCATTAAGTGGCGTCAAGTCATTTCCAATTCATAGCCGCCCTGAGGATTTCCAAGGACTGACTGGTGGGGTTGAACCACCAACCTTAGGGCTAGCAGTCCAGTGCTTATCCTACAGCACAACATCAGGACTCCAAACATGATGCTAGCTCAAATTAAATCAATGAAATTAAAGAGAAAATATTAAACTTTCTTATCTAAAAACCAAAGTACCAAAAACCAATAGGGTTAAGTATCTTTCCATAACAGTTTTAAGAATATTAGGTTTCTGGAAAGTAAATTTTAATTAAAAGTAATATTAAGTTTGTTCCTTTCCTTACTCTGTATACCAAATTAAATTATAAACTAATGAAATTAATTATTCCATCCATTGATTCTTTCAAAAATATGTATTAAGTATTTAATAAATACTTTGGAAAGAATCAATGGATGGAATTATTTATTTAATTAATTAAAGCATTTAATAAGTATTTTGAAAGAATCAATTAGTGGAATTATTTAATTAATCACAGCATTTAATATCTTTTAATAATCAATTGATAGAATTATTTATTTGATTAATTTAAACATTTAATCTTTTTTTAAGAATCAATGGGTAGAATTAATTAATTAAAGCATTTCATATTTTCTGTAAGAGTCAATGGGTGGAATTAATTATTTCATTAGTTTATAATTTAGCTTGGTATACAGAGTAAGGATATATATAGATGCTCTCTTTCTTTTTTTCTCTCTCTCTCTCTCTTAAAATTTTGTGGAAACATACATACTTACCTAGTCTGTGTTGGACTCCTGGTGTGGCACTGTATGATAAACACGGGACTGCTAACCACAAGGTTGGAAGTTCAAACCAACCAGTTGTTCCTTGGAAAATCTGTACAGTGTCACTATGAGTTGGAACTAATACATTGGCACGTAACAACAACCGTATGTGTCAGACTCTGGGGATTTAATAGTATGTAAGAACTATTATCTCCTCTTAAAGACTTCAGAGTCTATGTGGGGAGAAAGACAACAGGAAAATAGACAACAAATTATTGTTATTGTTAAGTTCCATTAAGTCAATTCCAACTCGGAGTGACACTTAATAGGGTTTCCAAGGAGCAGCTGATGGGTTTGAACTTCTGACCTTGTGGTTCACAGTCCAGTGCTGATCCTAAGTACCACGAATGCTTCCACACTGAGAGCTCAATGATAAGGTGGCATTATTCTGGGAAAAGTGAGGAATAGGAAGAGATGAAGAAAATCTTTCCAGCAAAGAGAATATGTGTGTTACGACTTGGAACAAAAAAAAAATTTCACTTTTTTTAAAATTGCAAGGCATTCAGTAAACTACTACTGACATACTTATTTAGTTTTGCATATTTAGACAAAAAATGGCGATAGAGAAAAAAATAAGCCAATCCAAACTCACCATCGTGGAGTTTGTTCCAGCGCACAGTGACTCTGTCTAGGGTTCCTAAGACTGTAAAGTTTATAGGAGAAGACAATCTCATTTTTCTCCTGTTCAGCAGCAGGTGTTTGAACTGCTGAAGTACCACCAGATACAGCTTCAAAATATTTAAAATATGCCCTTGTATTCAAGGAGGAGAAAAACGTTATATTGAAAATTAGTATGAGAAGAAAATTGTGCAAATAAACAATATGGATAGACAAAATTATTTTAAATTGATATTGTGATAAATGTTTATTGTGAAACTTGTGCTTATCTTTTAGAATCTTGGAGGAAAAAAATGTTAAGGAAAAACAAGATACTGATTTTAAAGTACCCTCTATATCTCATTAATGGAGTTTTCTTGGTAAGAATTCTCATACATATTTTGTAAAGAAAATGAATGCATTTTAAGGTAATTAATAAAAATATAAACATTGACTATTTCCTTTATAGATTCTTGGATTATTGCTCTTGGGATTTGGTGCATGGCTTTTATTTGATAGAAACATTTTTTTAACAATTTGGGGTATGTATCTATTTTTTCTTTTGCTTTCTTTAAATGAAATAAAATAAGAACCCAAAATCAATATAATTTTAAATAATTTCATATAGGAGATATTCAGCAGGTGGCAGTATTGCACTAAAATTCTTATGTATAAGTCACTTTTTCTTCTGAAGATATTTGTCATCTGGTTTTAGGAGAGAAAATTTTAGGAAGGAAGAGCTTGGAATTTTTGCTGCACAAGAATGATATGGGAAAAGGGAGGTTGAGGATTATTCTAATAACCCTGTTTGTTATTCTGAAACCGGACTCATAGGTTTTCAGAAGCTTTTTAAATCATCTCAGGAGCAGAAAGCCTCATCTTTCTCCAGGATCTAATAGCTCTAGACTTTTATAAACTTGTACTCTTGTAAAGATAATAGAAATCAACAGTTTCTACAGTCTTCTAAACAAAACAAAACTCTAACTTCAGGTCGATTCTGACTCATATTGCCCTATAGGGCACAGTAGAATGAGCCCGTAGAGTTTCCAAGGCTGTAATCTTTATGAAGTAGTCTTGGTGTGTTGTTGTTGTTGTTGTTGTTGTTAGGTGTCATCGAGTCGGTACCGACTCATAGCGACCCTATGCACAGCAGAACGAAATACTGCCCTATCCTGGGCCAACCTTACTACTGTTGCCACGCTTGAGTCCGTTGATGCTGCTGCTTAGACAATCCATCTTGTTGGGGGTCTTCCTCTGGTGTGGTACTGTGGGTTAATGTGCTGGACTGCAAAGTTGATTTGAACCTTAAGGTTGGTGACTCAAGCTAACCAGCTGCTACCCGGAAACCCTATATAGGGTCAGAATGTATCAGAACCGACTCAACAGCACTTAACAACAACAGCAATCTTTATGAAAGCAGAATGCCACATCTTTCTCCTGTGAATCAGCATGTGGGTTAGAACCACTCACCCTTATGTTAGCAGCTGAGCATCAACTGCTGTACCATTTGAACTCTTATTTCACAATCCCTATTCCTGTCGCCAAGTTAGATAATATGTTTTCAAGTTAGATAATATGTTATACTCTCACCATGACAGAGTTACAAATAAATTGCAATATCAAAAAAATAAATAAAGACACTCCCAAGGAGTCTATTTGGATTCATAGCAATCCTATAGTACAGACTAGAAATATCCACACGTTTTCCTAGGCTGTAATTCTTTATGTTTGTCCTATGAAGTGACTCTTGTGTTCAAACTGAGTACTTTAACCACTGCACCATCAGAGCTCCATAAATAAAGTATATTGTTTTTTGTTGTTAAATGCCATTGAAGAAGTTCCGACCCATAGTCATACTGCATAGGGTTTCCAAGGAACGGCTGGTGGGTTTGACCCACCAACCTTTCAGGTAACAGTCCAATGCTTATCTTACTGAGCCAATATGCAAGTACAAATAAAATAATTGAATATTTAGACATTATGCAAAAAAAAAATATATTTCCTTTATTTTTGCCATTTTTGGTATATTGTGGACACTGTGACTTAAATTTAAGCACACTAGGTTGAAGATTTTCAATGGCTTTGTATTCATGTGAATCCTGTACAATGAATACAGAAGGTCCGAGGAGAACCAATGCATTTAAATTGTGGTGTTGGAGAAGAATATTGAAAGTCCCATGGATTTCCTGAAGAACAAACTAATCTGTTTTAGAAGATGTACATCCAGAGTGCTTTTTAGAAGAGAGGAAGACAAGATTTCATCTCACGTACTTTGGAAATGTTATCAAAGGAGATCAGTCCCTGGAAAAGGACATCATGCTTTGTAAAGTGCAAGGTCATTTAAAAAAAGGGAAGCCCCCAACGACATAATGTTGTTGTTGTTGTTAAGTGCCGTCGAGTCGGTTCTGACCCATAGCGACCCTGTACAGGGTTTCCGAGGGTGTAAATCCTTACGGGAGTAGAA